AGGCACAAGAAAAGATCCTCAACATTGCCAATTATTAGTGATCTGCAAATCAAAACTTCAATGAGATACCACCTCACACTGGTCAGAATGGCCATCATTGGAAATTTTACACATAACAAATGCTGAGATGGTGTGGAGAAAAGGGAACCCTCCTACACTGTTGGTGGGAATTGACATCGGTACAGCCACTATGGAAAACGGTTCGGAAGTTCCTCAGAAAATTAAAAACAGAATCACCATATGATCCAGCAAGGCCACTCTGGGCATATAGCCAGACAAAACTATAATTCAAAATGATACATGCACCGGCTACGTTCACAACACCACTATTCACAATAGGGAAGATACAGAAGCAACCTAAATGTCCATTGACAGATGAATAGATAAAAAAGACGTGATCCATAAATACAATGGAATACTACTCAGCCATAAAAATGAACAAAATAATGCCATTTGCAGCAACATGAATGCAATTACAGATTATCATCCTAAGAGAAGTAAGTCAGAAAGACAAATACCATATATCACTTATATGTAGAATCTGAAGTACAACTGAACCTATTCATAAAATAGAAACAGAATCACAGACATAGAAAATAGGCTGGTGGTTGCCAAGATGACGAAGGTTGGGAGAGGTTGGATTTGGAGTCTGAGATTAGTAAATGCAAACTGCTATATATACAATGATAAACAACAAGGCTCTACTGTATAGCATAGAGAACTATATTGAGTATCTGGTTATAAACCATAGTGGAAAAGAATATGAAAAAAGAATGTATATATAGATAGATAGGTAGATATAAATATAGATATCTGTGTAATTGAGTCACTTTGTTGTACAGCAGTAATTAACATTGTAATTCAACTATACTTCAATTAAAAAACTAACAATAAAATATAATGAAAAGAAGTAAAAACAAAAGACCAATTCTCTGAAACCCTCATCCCTAAAAAACAGAACAAAACTCCAAATTCTTTTCTTTTAAAATTTCACTTATTTTCAAATACTGCCCTTTTACAATCATTCAATACATACCCATGTGTATACCCAAATATATATATATATCCTTTACATTTTCTCCAGTGTAGGTCAAATTTAGACTAGTGATTCAGTTGCCAAAAGCATTTTAATCTATTATCATAAACTTAAAATACCAAGAATTTAAAAAACATTTTTAAGCAAGCAATTGGTGGAAGCTTTAAAAATATAGAAAAGTAAGATCATGGCATACGGTCCCATCACTTCATGGCAAATAGATGAGGCAACAATGGAAATAGTGACAGACTTTTATTTTTGGGGGCTCCAAAATCACTGTAGATGGTGACTGCAGCCATGAAATTAAAAGACGCTTGCTCCTTGGAAGAAAAGCTATGACAAACCTAGACAGCATATTAAAAAGCAGAGATGTTAGCTTGTCAACAAAGGCCTGTCTAGTCAACGCTATGGTTTTTCCAGTAGTCATGCATGGATGTGAGAGTTGGACTATAAATAAAGCTGAGTGCCAAAGAGCTGATGCTTTTGAACCGTGGTATTGGAGAAGACTCTTGAGAGTCCCTTGGACTGCAAGGAGATCATACCAGTCAATCCTAAAGGAAATCAGTCCTGAATGTTCATTGGAAGGACTGATGTTGAGGATGAAACTCCAATACTTTGGCCACTTGATGCAAAGAACTGACTCACTGGAAAATATAGAGGATGAGATGGTTGGATGGCTCACTGACTCAATGGACATGGGTTTGAGTAAGCTCCAGGAGTTGGTGATGGACAGGGAAACCTAGCGTGCTGCAGTCCATGGGGTCGTAAAGAGTCGGACACAACTGAGTGACTGAACTGAACTGAACCAAATACATACAAACATTGAAAGTTTTATTTTGAAGCTCCTGGATTATGTGAGGGCTTCCCTGGTGGCTCAGATGGTAAAGAGTCTGCCTGCAATGTGGGAGACCTGGGTTCAATCCCTGGGTCAGGAAGATCCCCTGGAGAAGGAAATGGCAACCCACTCCAGTATTCTTGCCTGGAAAATTCCATGGGCAGAGGAGCCTGGTAGGCTACATCCAACCATCAAACCTGGATTATGTAGCTACATAAAATGACATAATATGGGCTTCCTTGGTGGCTCAGTGGTAAAAAATCTGCCTGCCAATACAGGAGACATGGGTTCAATTCCTGGTCCAGGAAGATCCCACATGCTACATGGCAACTAAACTCATGTGCCACAACTATTGAGCCCGTGCTCCAGAGCCCAGGAACCACGATCACTGAAGTCCTGCACCCGACAGCCCATGCTCTACAACAAGAGAAGCCACTGCAATGAGAAGTCCATGCACTCTAACTAGAGAGTGGCTCTCTCTCATCACAACTAGAGGAAGCCTGTGCAGAGCAAGGAAGTCCCAGCACAGCCAAAAATACATAAATAAATAAAATTAGAATGACACAATAGCATAACGTAGTTCTACCGCTCAAGCTTAACCAAGCAACTGGAATGATTCAACAATGTAATTCTAATTGCAGTCTTTCTGATCTATTAACTTTCAGCAAATAAGGAAAACTACTTAGTTAAAAAAATTACCTAAGTAAAGTTGATCTTTAGAAATAATGTTATCTAAACTGCTTTTGAAAACAGTTAAGTAGGCAGCTCTACAATTCATATAAAATATCTCCTCTTCAGTTAGCGGAAATTTCTTTGATCGAGGACTCTCTGAATGCGTTGATTTCTGACTGGAGAAAGCTGCATCACTTCCTGGACTGATGGCCATTCTATTAAAAAATAATTTAAAATTTTGTTTTAGTCACTGTTAGTCCTAAAATGAAAATGTCACTTTGCCTTTCAAATGGTGGTGGCGGTGGGTGGGGGTGGGGGTGGGGCGCAGAATCAAGACATGAAGGTTTTTATATGTGGAAAAATGATGTACATTATAATATGCATATGGTTAAATTATCATATGTTAAACTAGAATAAGTTTTTGGCAGTTAATTTCTAAATATAGAGAACCCAAAGAACAAAGCTAAAACAAAGATGTAACATAAATACAAAAGAAGACTCATAGGGCAAAGGAAAAGCACACATTCATTCTCTCAAAATTAGAGGACAGTCAGTTGAGACTCTTCATAGGATTGTCATGAGCATTAATTAAACTAACACATTTGAAGCACACAGAACAGTGCCAGGCACATAATAAATGCTAAATAAACTATAGAGTGAAACTCCACCATAATGATAATTTGAGTATAATGTGATTGGCAGTTGGCATTCATCTCCAAAGCAGCAACCATGTCATTTCACTAACATCTCAATACTGCAGCCCCACATTTAAAATGACTGAATTTAAAAATAATAATAATAATAATAATAAAATGACTGAATTTTAAAAATCCCATGTATAGAATTATCCTGCGGTTTTACTGTATTCTATTACCATCAATAATAATGTTAATAATAACAATAATTTGGGGGTTTATACAGCACCTCTGCTCATAAGAGTTTAAAGAACTGTCATACATCTTGATATACACCTACTACAGTGGTCAGGTACTATCTGCACCTTTTATAGATAAGAAAATAGAGAGGCAGAGATTTCACCCAGCTAAGAGTAAGGAGAAAAAGCATGTAGATTTCAGTAACAGTTTCTTCTTTTTTCATATGAAAAAAGGTTTCTTGTACAACAGTTACTATAAGGAACTAAATTGTGCTGGTGGTCTAACAGCTTCCAACATTATTTTACCCAGCTTTGACTTCTAAAAATACATTTCAACCCAATAAATTGAATATTTCTAGTTCAACAATAAGACGACACAGGTACAGTCCCCTTCAGGACTCATTGGATTCTTAAATCAGGAGGCCTAAATCACTAACACCTTCTTGAATTATATAGGTCTTTTACACTTGGGAAAGAAAGATAATAATCGCTTATCATGGATGAAGTACCCTATTCATAATACACAGACTGCCTGCCTGACACTTTCATCTTACACCAGATTTAGAAGGACCCCACAGGGATGTGGTGTCACAGTCTGGTTACTGCAAATTGGTATCACTATAATTAAGCATCACAGTTTTTAAACACATATGCGTGCACGCATATCTTCACAAATGTGAAAGAAATCTCTTCCAATAAGGAAAGGGAATGAACGTTCATTTTGAAGCCAGCAACTTAGAAATATAAGGTTTTGCGTGGTTTTTTTTTTTTTTAGATTGTCCTCAACTGCTCTTTCCAAATAAACTGACGCCCTCAAATGGAAATCCCACGGCAAAAATGTTCCAGAATTCTTTTTTTTCCCCCTTCTCCGTAACATGAGACTAAACTAAAGCATAAGTAAATATATAATTGAGCCCCTCAGGCTTGGAAACCTCCTGCATTTAAACTCCAGGCCGAGACCAAGACAGGGGCCTAGAGAGTACATTGCAGCAAACGCTCCATAAATAACCAGCCACACAATAGCAAGAAAAATAAACTGTTAACAAGCGCCTAAGGCTTCTAGAGGGCCAAGTGAAAGCAGAGAGTCATTCGTCACCGTCCCTACACTGTAAAATACATTCAGGACTGATCTCGGGCAACATCTCTCTATTTTTTGTATTACTCTGGGAATAAAATCGCATTTGTATGTACATTTTAAGTACAGACATGGAGCAAGTGTACGTATGACAAAGAAGTAGGTGGAGAAATGGAAGCCGAACAGTGAGGGACGGAGCGAGCAAAGAGAGAGACAGCGAGTTGCTTGCTACCTAACTGCTGGTCATAAACGAGGGAGCGTAGCCAATTCTCTTCAAAGCCTCCGCAGTCCTCCGCAGCAGGACAGTCCTCAGCCCTCTTTTAATTACCATGGAAACTGCATCTCTCGGCCACCGGAAACAAGATACAGAGCACCTCCCTAAATGGTCCGGCTAGAAATCTGCGGATACATATTCCAGAGTGAACAGAGATGGCTCTGTCTCTCCTTTTTCGGGTAGCCTTCTTGTCAGAATCCTGAGAGAGGGTCCTGCGTTGCCTTGGCAAGGGCTGGGTGCTGTCTATGTGTTGACTCTCCCCTCATCTTACTGGCATACATTGGGATCCCTTGTCGCTGGGGGAGTGTTTCCGGCGGGCCTCTTTGAGTGCAGCACAGCGTCGAGTGTCTGTTCGCCCGCGCTTTTCAGGCTTCAATGTGTCTCTCGGAAGATTCTCTGTTTACGGACGGAGTTGCTTAGTGATTTTATCCGGCGACGGAGCTGCGTTCCTGAAAGTCGAAATGCCGTAAGTATCTCTTCCTTCGGGTGTTGCTGTGTTTGGGTACCTCTGTGAGCAAGACGAGTAGATATTTTGTGGCCCAATTACCTTTTCCGTTGTCTTTTTCAGAGAGTAAATTTGTCTCTTTCTCCGACATTTCCTGGTGCTTGGTTCCCCAACACAACTCTGCTTCTCTTCCTTCCAGTTTTACTTATCTAGTAGTATTTGTTCATTTTAATTCTGATTCTCCAAGACTTTTGACAGATTTTATAGGCTGTGGGCCATATTTAGTGATGTATTACTTAAATAACTTCAAATACGTTTAACATACCGAAAATAGGATAGAGTACATTGCAAAACGCCGTATAATTTGATAAAGCCCCTTAATGTCTAGATTAGCGTGGTTAAGTTCCTATAAACTTGTAGCAGAGATCATGAACCGGGTCCCAAGAGAACTAAATTCTAGCTTTCAAAAGAGGACGCGTAGCCAGTTCTGTAAAGAGCTGATCAACGTTGAGCGAATCACTTAACTTCAGGCTGTAGTTTTTTTGCTTATCATTGCCCTGTAGAGACTTTTTTTTTTTTTCCAAAGCTCAGTAAAGAACTTTTTCTTTGGTGTAGGAGTGGAGATAATATATCAATTCAGTCGCTCACTCGTATCCGACTCCGTGACCCCTTAGACTGCAGCATGCCAGGCTTCCCTGTCCGTCACCAACTCCCAGAGCTTACCCAACTCATGTCCGTTCAGTCGGTGATGCCGTCCAACTATCTCATCCTCTGTCGTCCCCTTTTGCACTTGCCTTCAATCTTTTCCAGCATCAGGTTCTTTTCAGATGAGTCAGTTCTTCGCATCAGGTGGCCAACGTATTGGAGTTTCAGCCTCAACATCAGTCCTTCCAATGAACATTCAGGACTGATCTCCTTTAGGATGGACTGTTATGATCTCCTTGCAGTCCAAGGGACTTTGAGTAGTCTTCTCCAACACCACAGGTCAAAAGCATCCGTTCTTCGGCTCTCAGCTTTCTTTGTAGTCCAACTGTCACATCCACACATGACTACCAGAAAAACCATAGCTTTGACTAGATGGACCTTTGTTGGCAAAGTAATGTCTCTGCTTTTTAATATGCTGTCTAGGTTGGTCATAACTTNATCTGGAAGTTCACGGTTCACATATTATTGAATCCTGGCTTGGAGAATTTTGAGCGTTTCTTTGCTAGCATGTGAGATGAGTGTAATTGTGTGGTAGTTTGAACATTCTTTGGGATTGGAATGAAAACTGACCTTTTCCAGTCCTGTGGCCACTGCTGAGTTTTCCACATTTGCTGGCATATTGAATGCAACACTTTCACAGCATCATCTTTTAGGATTTGAAATAGCTCAACTGGAATTCCATCACCTCCACCAGCTTTGTTCGTAGTGATGCTTCCTCAGGCCCACTTGACTTCACATTCCAGGATGTCTGGCTCTAGGTGAGAGATCACACCATCCTGATGATCTGGGTTTTGAAGATCTTTTTTGTACAGTTCTCTGTATTGCCTCCTTTTCTCAATATCTTCATTTCTGTTTGGTCCATACCATTTTTGTCCTTTATTGTGCACATCTTTGCGTAAAATGTTCCCTCGGTATCTCTAATTTCTTTGATGAGATCACTAGTCTTTCCCATTCTATTGTTTTCCTCTTATTTCTTTGAGGAAGGGTTTCTTATCTCTCCTTGCTGTTCTTTGGAACTCTGCGTTCAAATGGGTATAGCTTTCCTTTTCTCCTTTGTTTTTTGCTTCTCTTCTTTTCACAGCTTTTTGTAAGGCCTCCTCAGAGAGCCATTTTGCTTTTTTGCATTTCTTTTTCTTGGGGATAGCCTTGATCCCTGTCTCCTGTACAGTGTCACAAATCTCCATCCATAGTTCTTCAGGCACTATGTCCGTCAGATCTAGTTCCTTAAATCTATTTCCCACTTCCACTGTATAATTATAAGGGATTTGATTTAGGTCATACCTGAATGGTCTAGTGGTTTTCCCTACTTTCTTCAATTTCAGTCTGAATTTGGCAATAAGGAGTTCATGATCTGAGCCACAGTCAGCTCCTGATCTTGTTTTTGCTGACTGTATAGAGCTTCTCCATCTTTGGCTGCAAAGAATATAATCAGTCTGATTTCAGTATCGACCATCTGGTGATGTCCATGTGTAGAGTTTTCTCTTGTGTTGTTGGAAGAGGGTGTTTGCTATGATCATTGCGGAGATAACATATAACACATGAAGTTCTCTGGCTGCCTCTTGTCCCCAGGCTGATTTAGGTACCCTCCTCCTGTGCATTTCTAGAATAACTTACCTCCATTATTTTCAGTTCAGTTGCTCAGTGGTGTCCAACTCTTTCCAGCCCCATGGACTATAGCATGCCAGGCTTCCCTGTCCATCACCAGCTCCCAGAGCTTGTTCAGATTCATATCTGTCGAGTTGGTGATGCCATTCAACCATCTCATCCTCTGTCCTCCTTTTCTCCTGTCTTCAATCTTTTCCAGCATCAGGGTCTTTTCCAGTGAGTCTGTTCTTCAGATCAGGTGGCCAAAGTCTTGGTGCTTCAGCTTCAGCATCAGTCCTTCCAATGAATATTCAGGACTGATTTCCTTCAGAATTGACTGGTTTGATCTCCTTGCAATCCAAGGGACTCTCAAGAGTCTTCTCCAACACCACAGTTCAACAGCATCAGCTCTTCGAAATTCAGCTTTCTTTATAGTCCAACTCTCACACCCATATATGACTACTTGAAAAACCATAGCTTTGACTAGATGGACCTTTGTGGTTAAAGAAATGTCTCTGCTTTTTAATATGCTGTCTGGGTTTGTCAGGGCTTCCCTCATAGCTCAATTGGTAAAGAATCCGCCTGCGGTGCAGAAGACACCTTTACGATTCCTGGGTCGGGAAGATCTGCTGGAGAAGCGATAAGCCTCTCACTCTAGTATTCTTGGGCTTCCCTTGTGGTTCAACTGGTAAAGAATCCGCCTGCAATGCCCATGACCTCGGTCGATCCCTGGGTTGGGAAGATCCCCTGGAAAAGGAAAGGGTACCCACTCCAGTATTCTGGCCTGGAAAATTCCATGGACTATGCAATTCATGGAGTTGCAAAAAGTTGGACACGACTGAGCGACTTTTACTTCACTTCAGTTCCCTTCAGGTTTGTCATAGCTTTTCTTCCAAGGAGCAAGCATCTTTTAATTTCATGGCTGCAGGCACCATCTGCAGTGATTTTGGAGCCCAAGAAAATAAAGTCTGTCACTGTTTCCATTGTTTCCCCATCTATTTGCCAAATGCAAAGTAATACATGTGGGAGGAGGAACATCTGAAGCAAATAGGAATTGATATGAAAGTGGAAAGATTTACAAAAATAATAACCTACATTTGTTGAATATGTAATTATGATTTGGATACTGTGATTAAGTGTCTTCAGTTCAGTTCAATCACTCAGTCGTGTCTGACTCTTTGCGACCCCATGAACCCCAGCACGCCAGGCCTCCCTGTCCATCACCAACTCCTGGAGTCCACCCAAACCCATGTCCGTTGTGTCGGTGATGCCATCCAACCGCCTCATCCTCTGTCGTCCCTTCTCCTGCCCTCAATCTTTCCCAGCATCAGGGTCTTTTCAAATGAGTCAGCTCTTCGCATCAGGTGGCCAAAGTGTTGGAGTTTCAGCTTCAACATCAGGCCCTCCAATGAACTGTCTACCTACATTTTTTAATGAATTCTAAAAAAGACCTTGGGAGGTAGGTGCTGCTGTTAGCTCTACTTTCTAGATAAGAAAGCTTAGCACCTAATAAGGTGCTACACACAGGTAGCAATAAATACATTTCACTTATATCTTTAAAAGTTATGGATTATTAACGAGGTTTTCCTTTCCCCAGAATGAAGCAAAAAGACTTGCCTCCTTACTCTTGCTCTAGAAAAAGAACCCAGTTAGCACTTATACAAAACTATGAGGATAACCTTGCAAACTCCCTGTCAAATAGGAAACAGTGGAAACTGTTGCGTGTTTGCATAATAAGTAGTGATACTTCCTGAGCTGTGCTCCTGTCCTGCTGTAGATAGTAGGGGACCCCTAAAAGCTGTTAAATGTGGACCTTTTGGACTCCTGTTTTCATAACATTAACTGGTACCTGTTATCTTAGGAGAGTCTGCAGTAATTAAATTCTGACAGTAAATACATGACCTTAAAGTTATGTAGCAGCTTTATATATATATATGTATATGTGTAAAGTTGATATATAGCAGTTTCACTGAGTTAATTTTGGCAAAGTGATTTAAGATGACATTAATGGTTATATATGGTTATATAATGCAAAAGCACTTCAGAGGAGCTCCATAATTGTTAGCAAACTTTTAGTTTTCAACGTGGTTAAACTGCAGGGTCACAAATAAGTTATCTTGGCAAGTTATATGTAAAAGTGATATGGTTTTTAAGTGATGTTTAGATGATAACTTTTTGATATGAACTTGGCATTTTTGGCATGGGATTGTGTGGTCTATCTCCTTTCTAATTTATTTGAACCTCGACATGGAAAAAATATAACAAGTAATTTTGGAATATGCATGGCCTATATGTAAAGTAAGTATAACAGTAATGTCCCATAATAATAGAGTGGATGGATGAATCTTAAAAACATACCAGATGAAAGAGCCAATTTGTCAAAAATTACATATAGCCTATTATCTTTATAAAGCTTGAAAGTAAAAGTCGCTCAGTTGTGTCCGACTCTTTGCGACCCCATGGACTATACAATCCATGGAATTCTCAAGGCCAGAATCCTGGAGTAGGTAACCTGTCCCTTCTCCAGGGGATCTTCCCAACCCAGGGATAGAACCCAGGTCTCCCGCATTGCAGGTGTATTCTTTACCAGCTGAGCCACAAGGGAAATCCTTACAAAGCTTAAGAACAAGCAAAAAACTATAGTTGAGGATTCTGTATGTTTATGATAAGTTTATTTAGGGAAGAAAAACAGAGGAATGATAAATACAAAGTTTAGTTTAATGGTAACCTTT